ACAAGGAAACCGATAATTGGCTTTAAGTGACAATGATAATGTCCACATGGGACCTCCATTCGCCGATGAATTTCTACAGGAATCTTCGGCTTTTTCTTAGAACGAACGATATTTTATGCACTATTTGTCAGTTGAGACAAGAAAGAGAATTATTAAAAACGACATCTATTTTTATAAACAGAAGAGAATCATAGAAAGGTGGTACATTAGTGAAAACTTATTTGGAAGCTGCGGAGATGTGGTTTTATAGACAAATTACAAGAATACCCTGGACAGATAGAAAGACTAATGAGGATGTCTTGATATAATAATAATAATTCCACAGCGCAGCATGCACAGCAGGGGTCCACCGTCATTAGCAGAAAGATCCTTCATCGACGACTGTTTCGGCCAATTACTTCCTATACAATCTTGGAAGGTGGGCCAGACCTAGTTCATGACTCCAGGCCCTTCTGCACTTTATCGGACTCAAAATGGACATATATAAAGAGTAATAGGGATGTCTTGAAAGAAATTGACTTACGAAGAGAACTGATTGTCCACATCAGAAATAGAGAATTTACATTCTGTTTTCCTGTGCTGAGAAGAATTGTGATGAGATGATGTGCATCGTGACAGTAGAAAGGTTGGAGGAGAGGAGAGGCAGAGGGAGCCCGAGAAAAGATGCTGGTATGTTTGACATCATGGCATGGATAACCATCTGTGTCTTCATCACGTCAGCTGTATCATAAAATAGCTGATGACCCAGAGGAGCGACAGCAGCCTGTCTGTCAGCATAATGCAATACTGGAGTTGGGAAACAGTGTAAATAAAACAAGACATTGAACCGATCTGTTGCTTTGCTATTTAAAAAAAAACGTCACGTTTAACCAGCATCCCCTGAAGGGGAGCTTTGGGTTATAATTGTGACTAGGTTATGTGCGCCATATAACATGGCTTGACATTGCAAGTTACCAAAAGCCCTGAAAATGATCCTGCTGTGGTAATGCTATCAGAGAAGACAGAACAAAATACTGTCCCAGCCTGCGGTGAAGTCGTCTACCGGCCAGCCAATGGGCTACCCGCTTGCCGATAAAGACTTTTAACGGACGCAGTGTCATTAAAAATGCTTCCACAAGCCACACTAGGCAGGAATGTCGTAGGTTACCCACGCCTGCCATAGAACTAACAATCTAGAAACACATAATTTAAAAATACATAATTTAGAAACATCTGCCTGGCCAGTTCTGGTTCCACACCTCAAGTTTTTTGTTGTTGTTGTTTTTACAGGGGAGGACGACATGGAGTCAAGGGTGGCCTTTTTTGCCGGCCTCAACAAGAACATAGGTCCAGTGACCACGAACTCTGACCTCATCTTTGACAAGGTCATCACTAACGTCGGAGAAGCCTTCAACCCAGATACCGGGCGATTTACTGCCCCGTTTAACGGGACCTTCCTGTTTATGTTGACTATTGCTGCACAGGGCGGCCGCAGGGTAGGTGTTGTTTTGTTTTGTTTTGAGAAGGTTAGTCCTTTGTTTACGTGAGTGTCCTTGGCCTGATATGTGTTGTTGCAGAGAGAGAGAGAGAGAGAGAGAGAGTTGCAGAGAGAGAGAGAGAGAGAGAGAGAGAGAGAGAGAGAGAGAGAGATATGGGAAAGAGATATCGGGAATGAGGGAGGGAAAAGAAGGAAGGCAGGTATGGAAGAAGTGAACGATAGAGCGGGAAATGTCCGACTATGATGCTTCAGTCCATCATTCTAAAGTGCCTTGTCGACGGGCTGAAGGCCTTCTTTGGCAATGTTATCGTGACCTCATCTGTTAAGTTATCTTGATGCTTGTCGGGTAACGCCCGAGAGTTCGAGTCTCTCCAGCTGCCATGCTAGATCTCGCCTGGTATTCCTAGACACACACACAAATTGGCAAGCTTGACCTCCCATCTGGATACTCTTGTGTTCTGAAGTAACATTTTGTATACTGTTTACTTTTTTCTCTGCGCATGACAGGAAAAGTACGTCATGTAATCAGTAAATTACGGCAACAGTTAGCAGCTACATCTTTATTTTGCTTTTTATGCATATTAGACTAGATACTGAATTTAAAGTGTGCCTTCTGTTTTCTTATACGGATATAAGAGTTGGACTCTCACTATGGAAATGGAAAGGACGATTCTGGCTTTTGAATGTAAATTCTACAGACGCATTTTCCGAATGAGTTATTTCGAACATAAAACTGATAAGTATGTCAGACACACACACACACACACACACACACACACACGCACGCACACGCACACACACACACACACCCACCCGCACGCCCAATCCCACCCACCCCACACGAGCACACGCACACGCACAGACACACACAGTTTGCGAGACATCAGGAGCCTCTCTTATCATTGGTGAAACGTCGCAAGCTAGCTTGGTTTGGGCACGTGGTGAGACATGATTCGATTGCAAAGACTGTACTTCAAGGAACATTGGGGGTTAGTCGAAGAGGAGGAAAGCAACGAAGAAACTGGACTGACAACATCAAGAAATGGACAGGACTACGTGTTATACACTTGTTAAAGGAGTAGAAGAAGAAAAAAGATGACGGGTTTTGCGTGCTAGCGTTTCCATCAATACACCTCCACAACCTTACTGGGTCATGGGTTATGCCATCACCATGTGCCCTGCTGTTTGGCGTACACTCACAGATCAGGATCCCTGATTGCCTGGAACAGCTCTCTTGATGATATCCCTCCATGCCATCGTTTCAACCCATCCAGCATCATCTCTCTTGGTCTGCATCTACATCTCTTTCCACTGATCGTTCCAGGTGTCAAGATATTTTCCAATTCCTCTCGTCTTATTGCGTGGCCAAAAAACAGTGTTTGTCTCTTTCTTATTGTTGTATGTAGAGATCTACTTGTATTCGCTTCTTTCAAACAGTCATTGCTAGTTACTCTGACCGGGTTATGTATGAACGTAAAATCTTTCTCTGCATTCATCTGTGTTTTGCCCGTTTATGACATGGCTGCGGTATTTGCGACTTACGGACGACACATGAGACTTCTGCGGGCATGTGTTGCCCGGTCTAGCCTTCCCAGTCAGTCTCATTGTTGTGCGGTCATCTTTGTGTCTTAGTTCACAGGTGGTGCCAATCATCAGGCCGGTCCAGAGCAGCCACATAATGCTAGTCAGTCCTCAAGCCTATTCCGACTGCAGCACTAGCGATTACAACTCGATAACACGAAGTGCCACCATTCGGATGAGGATCCCTCTGGGTGCAAGTCCCAGAAAACCCCTTCAACTGTTGAGTTGATGACAGCCGGGGTCGGTCTTTAAAAAAACAAATAATTGCGTCTTATTTTGAGGCAGAGTTTTGTATAGTCCTCAATTCCAATTCCTTTTCAGAACCACGCTCAACCTGCTGCTAGCTAGCCGAAGCTGCCAACAGTCTCCGGCTATATTTGTGGTCTTATTTTTGTGCCACTTTTATGGCTAAAGTTTTTGTATTTGCGCCGTCTCTGGGTTTAATGTTTCTCTCCTCCAAGCCAGACCGCTCAATCCCTATCCTGTGGTCAACTGTGTTCTTCTTACCCTTTCATTTCTGATAATTCCTCCTCGGTTTCAGCTCCTTCTGATTTGGCCAGGCGTATATCGTAGATGAGTGAGCTTCTCAACAAAACGTCCTTTGGACCACCAATAAGGCATGAGCAGAACATGATTATACTCACTATCCAAGGAAGCTTCCATAAATGCAGAACCAGTGCGTTGTGCTCTGATACTGGGCTCATGGGAGCAATCGTCACATTCTGCCCAAGACTGTTTAACCTTATTTCTGCATATTCAGCCTGTCAAACATCATTGGCTACGCCTTTAGATGCCAACAGGAGGCAGTCTGTAGACCTGGGATTTGGATTTAGGATCCTTTTCCAGCCTATTCGGCCTACTGGGCGTATAGCGCTAGACCTACATTTTATATAGAGCAGTCAGCATCCGGTGGGTGATATGGTCAACTTTACGCTGGGGATCTCGATTATCTCCTCACAATGACTTACTTTTTTTGCACACACATTAGACGTCGTCTTTTTAGAAAACTATTTATATGGCATTTTATTGTCTTTCCACAGGCAGCCGTTGAGCTTGTCCTCAACTCTAAAATGGTGTCAACTATCTGGGCCGAGAGCGTTCCCTACTGGGCGTCCGCTTCTAACAGCGCCATCTTGAACATGGAGGCAGGCGACCAGGTCAGGCTAGTTCTTCTGAGCCGAGCGTCCTATCTGCATGGTTACATGTACACCACTTTCTCGGGTCATTGCCTCTATCGGGGTCTTTGACGAAGGCTGGGAGGGGGCGTCGGCGACGATGACACGTCTCAACACGGCACACCAGCGGGAACCTGAGATCGTTGTGGGGAAAGGAGAAAGGGTGTCGGTGGATGGTAATGCCAAAGGAAGAAAGGAGAAAGGTGGAAATCCCAAAGGGCAGATAGACCACATTGGTAACGAATGTGTCGCCGATGATAACATAAATAATCACAAAGAAAATATTGATAGAGAGAATAGCGAAGTTGTTCTGCAGGTACTGGTAGGAAGCAATGAAAAACATATAGCTTATCAAGTAACGGAAGAGACACATACGGGAAACCAATTTCATAATTACAATAAAAGCAAAGTCAACAACATAAAGGGATACTCCGGAATCAACGCTATACATAACTCTACAAATTCGTACAGCATCGCAAGTTCTGAAAGCAGCAGTAAGATAGCAAGTAGCTACAAAAGTGACAATTCTAAAACAGCGCCCGTATACGGCCTCCAAACGCCGGATTCCAAAATGTGCAATAGAGACGCTAACGGGCAACCATCAAATTCGGACTTGTGTGTTTCACCGACAGTAACCGAAAATTACCACAAGAATGCTGTGACCCGGCCAAGTGGTAATGCAAATAATGGCAAACAGAGAAATGAAAATATCCCCAGAAATCACTCTTCCCAAGGGAAAAGTGGGAAAAAAAGAGCCAACAACTGGCCAGAGGAAGGACATAAGTAATGCTGGTAGCAGATACGTAACATCGTATGTGTGTTTTCTCTATGTCAACATTGCTTGTGTAGTTTTAGTTGTGAATATGTTTTACTGGTGTAACACGTAGCTAGAACAACGATGTGTGTAGTAGTATATGTTAGTAAATTAGCATTATAATTAAAGTGTCTGCTGCTGCTTCTACTACTCTCCTCATACTCACCCCCTCCCCCCCCCCCCCTTTTCCGCGTTTCGGTCATCTCTACTTAATTCTGTACTCATTCGTTGTTTTTTTTTTTTCATCACTTTTTCTTGTTTTTCATCGGGTCCTCCTCTTACATCATTTCTTTTTTAACTTCTTTTACTGCTGACTACTACTTTCCTCCTCTTACTCTTATTTTCATTTTCTTCTCTCCCTCCCGTATCTATACTTCATCCAATAATTCTTCTTTCGCATAATTTTTTGTTCCCATAAGGTGCTCTTTTTTTTATCACTTTTTTTTTTCAACACTAAACGCTGCGGGCCATCCGCCTTGTGTTTCGACAGTGGTATCAGGGGACGACCGTCCAGTAAGCAATGGCAAACTACTGAACGTAAATTTGCCTAGAGAAACCACACAACAGCCAGGGACTGCTGGGTTTGGTTCTGCAACGTCCTGTAAAGGATACGCAACTAACCTTTGTCTACTACTGCTAGTATTATTAATTATCCCCCCTACTCTACTGCTCTCATCGTAACAACTATATCGTCTCTACGTCTGCTTCTACATGTGGCGAGGCATGCATGTAACGACTGTAAACGCCGCTTGCAATTTCCATGCAAAAAATAACGAGTTTACTGTTTACTAATTATTACAAATGCGCCACTCGGTTAACCTCTCAAACATAGCCAGAGAAGCGCTCGTCACAAACTTATGTCACTCATGCAGAAACTGTAACATGTGAAATCTACCAGTTACTAGTACTATGATGCTAGCTGTCAAGGACCTGGTATCTAAGCTGCTTAACTAGGGCTCGTTGTACGGCCCTGTGACAGGCACACTATGCTAGAACACACTTAAAACACACACCTATTGAGCACACACAGCATCTTTAATGAACAAAGAACAATAAACCTAAAGCAACCTCTACAGTTATGGACAGTCCCTTATCCGAAACTCCCGCAGTGGCAGCATTTATATTTATTTATCCACCCCGAGCCATTCCCATGGATGTACCAGAGGACACGATTCCACCTCCTGTAGGGCAGCGCTAACTAGGCTACGATCTTCGCCATGCGAGACTCAGTGGCACACGCAGGGTGAGTGGTTCAAGTATTAGCGGGCATTGTCAACGCCAGCACAAAACGCAGCTAACCCCTAATAACCCAGGGACAAGAACACCTACCTAAGCATGATACAACCCCAACACAACTGTCTTAGTATACTATAAGCACACGAGGAATACCAACAGCTAACCAACACATATGACGACAACTCTAACACAACCTATCTTTCAATTCCTAACAAAATACATCACGTCTCTAAATGTCATCAGTCTCACACGTCCAATTCTAACCGCTCTCCTCTCCAGAGCTGCCCCTTTTCTTTGACAAAACACATCCAAAACGGAGTCAGAAAATATCTAAAAACATCTAAATTTGCGTGGAAAACATCTAGACAAAAACATCCAAATGGAAAGAGTCACACATTACAAAGCAAATGATGTGACTTACCCTATAGAATCATGTCCTCATCTTTACTGAAGACTGCCTTACAAGATCCACAGGATAAACTAGCTTGGATAATGAAGTTGAAGCTTCAGATCCAAATTGACTCTGGTATGCTTTAGCTGCCCCAGTTTCTGTTAATACCCAATCAGGGAGCTGATTAGTGGAACAACCTTTTCCTTCTCTTATCAGGCAAAATTTTATTGGCAAGATAGCATCTAAGAGGTCAAATTTCATCCTGTTTCTTATGTTCGTTTTGATAAATTCACTCCTAATGAAAAAACTTCTAGAAAAACATCTACCATCTAAAGGTTAAAAAAACCATCTAAATACAAGGGAAAACATCTAAATTTAGATGTAAAACATCCAAAGTGGCAACACTGCTCCTCTCCGTCCCCGTTCAGCTTCGGGTTAAACGTGTACGTTGCACCAGTGTTCAAGCCATCTCGGTTTTTTCCCCATATCGTCAAATCAGCTGGCTAACCGCTGGTGCACTTTTTGGTCCGTCAAACACAAACATGAAGTTACACGGCGTATTGTCTATACTCTGTCCCACAGGGCTATGACACTAGCTGCGCGCTCTAACTCAACCTTTATCGCCAGAACTACTGCTGCTCTCACAGCAACAATTATTACTATCGTTACCTCTGCTGCGGCTGTTATTACTATCACCACTTTTTTCCATTTCCACTCAAACATTCATTTACTCTTTCTCACATTATCACATGTTTCTTCCCTTTAGACAGTCTTTTTGCGACTGTAAATATTCTTTATGGAGAAATTTTGATGTGGCAGTGCCCGTGGTGTGGCGGCTAGACGCCCGCCTGCAGATCGAAAAGTCGTGTGTTCGGGTCATGATGGAGCCGGACTCATTTTCAAAACTGTGGAGCAGAAAGACAGACCCCTGAGCACATACTGCAGTACTGCCCTTACCTCTCCCAGCAATGACTGGAACTGGCCCAGGGGATCCACATTGCGAGAGAAGCTATGGGGGACCGGTGGCGACCTTAAACGCGCAATCCTATTTTTGACCCAGACGGGACTCAGTGTGTAGCATGACTGATGTCGAACGCAGAAGAAGAATAAGAAGATTTTTAAAACTGACTTTGGCTCTCAGGTCGACTAAGCCTTGAGTTGGTACAAGGTGCAGACCTGGTAAGTAAGGCGGCCGGCGTGATGCTGACCACATCACCCATCAAGTGCCGATTGGTCTATAAAATACAGGTCTGGCCCGATATGCCTAATATGCCTAAAGGCGTGGACAAGGATTCTTTACTTTTTACATTTAGATGTAATCCTAAATATGTTCCTTAATCCTATCACGTGTACACATTTCTTGTGTAAGAGTAAGCAGGATGTACTCAGGATGTAGCATACTAAAGTGGTGGCCAACAGATTGAAACCACCTAGTAACTGATTGACGTTTTCACACAACTGTATACTGGAATATTGCATCAACTGCTGTCTTATGGCAGAACAATGACTGCAATCACATGAGATAAAAAAAAAAAAGAAATTTGGCAGGAAAAACAAGAACAGACAAGAGTCACCAATAAAGAACTAAGAACAACGTTAGGCACAGTGCCGGTGAATGATTTCATAGAACGTCAAAGAATCAAATGACTTGGTCATCTGGTCAGAAAACAACAAGCCAGCAGCCAGAATGTTTTACTTAAGACAAGCAGGCCATAGTGCAAGAGACCTACCAAGAAAGATTATAAATATAATCAACAGACAATGTGTTGATTAGCACTCATAGAAAGAAGTAGAAAGATAGAAGGACACACTAGACAACATAAAAATCGAAAGCTATAGTTACCGTGCCGGGAATCGAACCTGTCACCTCCAAATGGCGTCTGCGCCTCGCTGTGGAAGCAAGTGCACTAAGAACATGACCAACTATGCACCCCCCAAAAAAGGTTATCTTCGCTAGACATATCTATCGTAAAGCTTGAAATCCATAGCTATGGAATAAAACTATTTTAAAAAATACCAAGAAAGAGATTGGTGGGGAAGTAAAAGAGACACTACGTTAATGCAGCATGACATTACCTCAAGTTCCCCGTGTGGGTTCCGAGGCCCTATTATAGAGAAAACAAGAATAGACCCACTGCCTACCCAAAAGCATGTCGTAAGAGTCGACTAATTGGAAGCTTCCTCTGAAGTCGGAGTGCATCTGCCTGAGAGGCAAGGAACCAGCAGTCTGCATGCAGTTGAGTCAGATCTGTAAAACGGGTGCACATGCAACACTCAGGTTCTGGAACAGGACTGTAGTCCAAAAGTGGATGAACAACCAGAACTTTCCGCCAGACTTTACAGCCCGTGAACACGAAGAAGAACAAGATTAAGTTACGGAACTAGCTGGAGACAGGAATCTACGTATAACCCCTCCCTGCGGCGCTTTTAGGGCATAAACAGTAGGACAACAGAAGATGGTGATGGTGACAAGAGTTACTGCCCTAAGTGGGCTCTTAAACTAGCCGTGGGTGCAATACTTCGTAACAGTATTGACAAATCAATTATTTACTAGGAGGTCAAAACTTTTGGCCACCACAGTAAATTGTTCACACATAATCAAGTTATTACATTTAAATGCTAGTTTAAGTG